TAGCCATCTCTTCCCCTTCTGTGATGAACTGCTACCTGATGTGCCAAAATGTCAGAAAGTGTCACTGAAACCATAACATCTAGGTTTATTGTCATGCCATAGATTTTCTGATTAAAGAAGCCAGCTTGCTCCCTTAGAGAAACAGCAGCTGTGATTCTAAGCTCTTTTGGGGGAAAAATGTTTAAATTTCTGTAGGGTATCTCTTGAAAAGAGAGAGTTATGTGTTCCAGATTTCACCCTGTGACAGATCAATTAAATCAGGTTTCCTTGAACCCTGGAGGTACCTGCGTCATTGACCGCGTTGCGCATCTCGTAGCTGTTAATGGTTCCCGAATGGTCTGTGTCGTAACGCTTGAAAATTTTCTGGAAAAAGAAAATAATAAATACACAACAGAAATAAAAGCTTGTACTTCTACCGAATGTACCCACTGACCAGGTATGGGATGTGCACCTCAGGCACCCAGAGGCTTGGCTATTTGCCCTCTATGGCTGCAGCTGTGCAGCCCAGCCACAGAGCTCCCCTCAGTTACAAAGTAAAATAGTTTAGACCCACCCTGTGAGAAGCTAAAAGCTCTCCCCTAGAGACCATCCATATTTGACTCAAGTTCATGCTGTTAATCCTCTTGATCATCCTACTTAGGCTTTTTGTGACGCCTTATTCTAGCTGCCATCACCCTGCTCCTCTAGTTTGTATGCCTCTGTTCAGTTCTCAGGGGGGAAATCCTTTCATGAGTGCTGGAGCTTCAGAGATTCAGGCTGTTTGCTTAGGCTCCAAGTAGGATGAGGAGAGACATCATTTCGCTTTTTAGAAACTAATTTGAGAAGTCTGGTTTTACATTAAGCTTTTGTGCTGCAGAAGCTGTGAAGAACAGCACTGTGGATACCAGCAATACCTGCCAGCTTTTAATCTTCTCCCAGAGGTGTCGAAACTCATCGAAGTTTATCTTCCCTGATCCATCTGTCTGTGATGCAAACATTGAGGTAAAAAACTCCACAATATTTTTAAGAGGAGAATTCATTAAGTTTGCAGCTACTGATGAAGGGATGAATGTCAAACTGAGTACAGGATGTCCTCAGCATGACGTGCTGGCTGAGCTGCAAAATATTTGTGAATGTTCTGTTTATTGTGCATTGTATTTTGTTTCAGGAGTGTGAAGTACTATTTGTACTTTGTGTAGCAACAAAGTATATGAACAGGAGGTTGTAGTGTGTTCTTTCCTGAATGTGAAGCTTAACTAAGACAAGTGAGCTTTATCCTAGACTGAAGTTCTTTAAAATTAATAGAGAACTAAGCAAAATGTTAACTAAAGCTATTTACAGAAACGTGCATAGGCTCCAACTATTATGGCTCTGGGTTGTAGTTACAATTTTGTCATGGTTCTGTTTGAGTGTGCTTATGTTCTCTCAAAATCATGTGTTCTTTCAAGTAGGAAATCTGAGTGATGTTTTATTAGAGGTAACCCTGTATGGCATCTTCTAGTGTTTTATTGTACTTGCACTGAGACAATTTCATTATGTGTTGCATGGTAAGCACATAGTGAAACGTATCATATGTTATAAACTTAAAGAGAGAAATATAGTAAGGCAAGAATTCTAGTTATGTTGAGCTGGTTTAAAAAAATTAAAAGATAAAATCATGCTTTAGTACATGAGGTGGCCAGTCACTGATACCTAAGGAAGGGTGTTACACTAGCTGACTTACTCTGTAGTTTTCTGTTATGGGATATTTTTACCTGCCAGTTAAGCTAATGCTGAGATGACTGGACTTAATAAGCACCAAACCAGGAATGCTGTGTTAGCTGATTACACACTGTGATGTCTTGTTCTGCTTCCCTGCCGTACTGAATTTTGTGTGGGTAGTGGTGGGAAATAAAACCCAAGGGAACTTGTGTGATATCAAGCACTCCTCTTTCACTGGAAAAGGATACATCCATTAAAGCAATCATGCTGCGGCAGGATTCCAGTTCAAATCCTTCTGTCTTTAGGTCCTTATCTGAAATAAATTACCCCAGGTGTAAACAGATCATGCAATTCAGCAAGTGCTCCTTCTTCGTATGTGTAACTACTCAAAGTAGATTAAATATGAACAGACTCTTAACGTTACTGCTTGTGAATTAGAGGTGACTTTTCTTGGCCTGTTATATACAATAAAAACCTCTGAAAAACTCTAAACTATCTTCCAGGTAGCTAAGCAAGCGCAGGGTCTGTAGGCTAAAGTTTACTAAACAGGAAGACAGGCCTGCCCATCCATTAGAATTCTTTATTTTTAAGGGCATTTGAGGACTGCTAGAAACCCTTTATTATCCTGTGTGGTGTTTCCAATAAACTTTTGCTCATATCTGTGTTATCACTACTTAATCACTTATAGAGAGAATCTCTATGAAGAGTTCAGCTTGCTGAAGCCTTGGATGCAAAGTCTGTGGAACTGTAACTTGGAAATTTGTAAGGCTGAAACCATAAACAATTTTTGTAGTTCAACTCAGGGGTGGAGGGCTATATTATATCACAGATTTCCTTGTTCAGAGTTACTGAAAAACATGCTCAAACTCACGTTTTTTTACAACATTATTGAGAACATTCCTGAGTTCTTCAGCATTGATCTCCATGTCCTGGTGGGAAATGTAGTAGGAATATAATTAATTACAATATACCTTATTAAGCATATGACTTTATGGATGGATATGCTATAAGTATGAAGTCTTTGGTCACTTTTAAGTATGGCATGTATATGCTTCAAGCTAGAACACATTGTAGTTCGTATAAACATTTGTTCAAATCTTTCTTGAGGCTGCAGTACAAGATAGGTCTAAAGTTACCATATAGTGCTTATTAAACTACAGTTAGAATAATGACCAGTAGTTTCAAGTCACTGCATGAGCCAAAAAGCAAAATGTGAAAATTCCTGTAACCCATTTGCAGTTCTGTAAACCATTTATACAGTTCTTTGATCTGTTTTTACTTCTAACTTCTCTCATTACACGTATCGTGGAGGGCGTTGTATTTCTAACTTGTTTATAAATGCTGTGCAAAATAGCATCATGTATCAGTGATAGAAGTAAAAGCCTGAATTTAAATAAAGGCTCCCTTGTACACAATGGGAATAGCTGATATGTATATCTGAGGATAGGTGTATACTTAATTGGATTTTTATTTGATTTTACTTAGCTTTGGATCTCAAAGGAAACTTAATGGAAAGGAATGCAACGGAAATGTTAAAATTCAGGGTTTTGAATCCATGAAGCAGTTGATTTAGGTGCCATTGTGGCCAGACTGCTTTGATGGCAGTGACATAGATCCATTGCATACTCACATCCCCTGCAATCTGTCGGAAAATATTCCTGAACTGTTGTTCCTCTTCACTTCTCTCATGAGCTTTTGCTGAAGAACGCTGAAAGGAAACAAGCACAGAAGAGATACAAACTTAGCCCAGCAGGGAAGGGGCCTGAGGGGCTGGATGATTCACTTGCCCTCCTGCAAAGGAGCCTCTTACTGAGTCTGGAGCTCTATGGAGGAACAGATCAAACTCCTGATCCTTTCCCCGCCCCGCGCCCCCCCCCCCTTTTTTTTTTTTTTTTTTCTAAATGTGTTCCTTGGCAAAACTGCAGAGTATTTAACTTCACTATTGCTCTCCTTTCTCTTGGATTATTATTTTCACTGACAGATGTTTCTCTTCTAACTTGTTGTTTCAAGACATTGCAAGAGAGAGGATTGGAGCACAAGAGATGTATCTCCTCCGTAGGTACCCTGGAGACTACGTGTTGACCAGAGGGACTTGGGCTTGAGAGCACTTTGTAACATAGCACAGAGACAGCTTCACTTCCATTGTTTTCCTGTCTCAGACACATGCAAAAAGCAAGCCTGAACTTTGAGGCTGATACTGGAAAAGGAAACTGTATTTTATTCTTTCCTCCTGCCCAATATTATTTATGTGTAAGAAAGTAAAGTGAACTTCTTGGCTTAGTTCATACTTTTGTTTGTCTGAATGCAGAGGAAACTTAAGAGTGGTTCCCACTTTGCCACCTGCATGCACTGGCAGTGGTGCAGCAGGACAGCACACTCCTGTAAGCAGACACTCAAGCCATGGCTCCAGACACCATGAGCTTGGGTGCAGGATCTGGCTGTTGCATCTCACATCCCTCATCCACCCACAGGCAGAAACTCCAAATTCACTACCTTGTTTTACTTCTCTCTGGTACTGAGAGATAAGAGGAGGGGTACAGGACCTCCTGGGCTTTCTCATCCTTGTCTCCTCTGGCTGACAGAGACTGTTACCAGGATGTGTAATTTGAAATGAGGAGAGCCTGTGGTCATTGCCAGGGGCTCCTGAAGCCCCTCGGGTGTGCCTTGTTTGTGTGCCCTGTGTAAAGCAGGTACTGCCTCAGCGGACTGAGCAAGAGTGGATCAAACTGTGTTCCTGGTGGGGAAGGGATCTCTCACAGCCAGGATCCTTGTATGAGAGAGCAGCCAGCAGATATTTTCAAGCAACTAAGTTCTCCAGCGCAGGTGGTAAATAACTCAAGGGATAGCCTCTGTTCACTCATGCTCATTAGATCCACTCAAATCAGATGCAAGTAATGCTAAGATTTGATGAAAAGCTGTGAAGTATCTTAGGATACTTCTTTGCCTCACTCCTGTGCTCTCCTGAGCCACTCCTCATGCTAGCCAGCCCAAGCCCTATTTCCCCTCTTGCCAATTGCTACAGAAACCTTCTTCTCGTCTACATGGGTTTTTTCATCATCTTTCCCAGTGTCTTCACCCGCTGTCAGCTCCTTATTGCTATTCGCTCTGTCGGAAACAAAGATGATAGGCTAGAGGAAGAAGAAGGAAGAGAGCAAAAAAGAAGTGAAAATTACACAAGAAATAGTATTAGGGAAAACATTTGGTGACAGGTGTTCTAGTATTCTGTGGTAAAGCACATGCAGAAACAGCTCCTGTGAACGTGACCAGAGAAACCAAAGCTGTGAATGCAAGAAATCAAGAAAAAAAAGCAAAAGGGGTAGGGGAAAAGCAGACTAACTTCTGAGAATACTGCTCTCTTCATGCTAAAAAGCAAGCTGCAAAAGTCATTTTGCAAAAGAGTATCATCTCTGGTTTCTAGTTTTCCTGTTAAGAAAGCCGCTACCTGTTTAAATGTTAATTTATTTATACTTTTAAAGCAAAAGAAGCCTCCCAGATTCTTGATTCTCAGTTAAAATTATGAACTTGCTCCTCTCTATGAAGAACAGTGGCACAGAGAACAGAATCTGAATCCTTCACAGAAAATGAGCTTGTGAAGCTTATGTTCTTTCTCTGTATTAATCCTCAAAGCATTCAGCTGTGAGCAGTCACATGCAATTGTTCTGTTTTAGTTTATTTAAAACAAGGAAAGCTGCTATGAGATGTGAACGTGTCACCCTAGCATATTAATTGCAATCATCCTGTCTTGAGATTAATATGTCTGGTTGCATTTTCAAGGTCCTATCTAAAGGAGAATCCTGGACTTTGGTGAGCAGAAACTCCAGGAAAGAGAAGCAGCATTAGGCAACAGAAGCAAATGTGAAGGCATGTCTCTGAAGAAGGGCTGCTTCCCACTAGAGAGAGGAGTCACGGTGCCCGTGGAGGGGCAGGAAGGAAGGGCAGTTTGAGCAACCCAGAGGATCAAGCTCATAAAACTGAAAAGCTTCTGTTACACTTTTGTTACTCCCTTAAGTCAGAGCAGTCTATGATGCTAATGCTATTTCATTAGAATTCAGCGTAGGAAGACAAAATCTTCGCTGCCTGCAAGTAGCCTTTTTCTCAGTGCACTTCATTAACTACATCAGTTTCTAGATGCAAAGAAATCACAAGACCAAGGAACTCAGCTCCTGGTGCATGCATTGCACATGCTCTTTGCCATGCTGGCATTCAGGACATTGCACAAGTACCCACCTTGCCCTTTTTCTTCTTCTGTAGAAAAAGAGACAATATTTTTTTTTTACAAAAAGTGCTTTTAAGCAGAATTATATATTTAACCCAGACTATGCAGAGATGATGGTATTTTTATCTTGCCCTTTCTCTCATTTATTTTTACCATTCTTATATTCATACTTTTTTTTTACCATTTCCTACATGAATACAGTTTTCAAATCTCAAAACAATTAGGGAAAAATGCAACCACCAAGAAATTGGGGAGGACAGAAATTGCAAAAACCGTTAACAGAGCAGTCCCATCTCATCTGGGGCTTTGTCTGCTTGAATAAAATCTCTATTGTAGCTTCAGCTCTGACTATTCCTTTTCAGTTTCCCAACCTGTCAATGCAGTGGAGACTGGACTTATGTGCCCACAGATCAATGTTATCTGAAGTGGCAATTAAATTCCACCAAATCTTGACAGATATATTATTATCATGACAGCAAACGAAAGGGGAGCACTTCTGAGCAAAGTTAGATGGAGCTCAGTTCTGTGCAAGAGAACATTCTCTGATTTTTTTTCTAGATTAATTATATAATCAGCTCTACTATATTCCCACAAAGATGTGTAAAACCCCAGGCTGAAGAGTTACAGCTTGTCAAGGATGCTAGTTTGAATCAGAGTATCGTTAGGATCCCTTTCCAGAAAGCACATACTTAAAAATAAGTTTGGGGGTTTTTTTCTTTATTAGATGAGATGCCAATTTCACAAAGAAAATGTCTTGGAGCACAGAGATGGGTCTCCCCTGGTGAATGAATAATCTCCATTTTTTGAGGCAAAAACACTGCTTAGCATCCGGCTTCTTTATGCCAGGAGCAGATTTCAAATCTGGCAAGAGACTTTGGTCTGACCAAATCAGAAAGTCCTGTACACACAGCAAGTGGTCATAGAATTCTCTTTTTGAGAAAATGTGGGGATTTATGCTAGAGGAGCTGTCATGTGGCTGTGAATAGTTTCCTGCTGTGTGTTTCCCTAAGTGTGATGTCTCTCTCCTCCCTACCATTATTCACATATGGAAGAGTCCCAGGACAGTACTTACCGATGGACGCTCTGCCTCAATCATGTTTTCAACCTCCCTAGAAGAAAGCAGAAAGCAAATAAACCAGGAAAGCTACTGTTCCAAATATTACTTGTTTCTGTAGCTGGTTTGTAGGCAGCCACTTGAACTTTCCAATCAGCCAGTGTTGTGTCACTGGCTTCCATTACAGCTGCAGGCTCTAGCTGTGGCTTTTTCCCAGTTTGAACTGAGCATTCCAAGTACCACTTCCAGGAGCACTGATGCCTGGTTTACTCCACTAAGGAGCCTTGGTTACACTGAACTTTTACTGCTGGGAGTAAAATGGGAGGTGTTTGACCTAAATAGAGTGACACTGGCTGCAATTTGCCGAGCTCTGGGAAATAAGCTGGAGAGCAGGATGGAAAAGAAATAACTACCTACTGCTGTGTTTCATTCATGACTGAAATTAGACCTGTTTCAATGATAAAAAAATAAACAGGTTAATTTTCATTATTAAAAATGGCTAAGGGTAAATTTACAAATAATATCCTGCAAGCAGTAAGCTTCTCTAAAGACAATTCAAAGCAGGCGCTTTTTAGACTATAAGGGAAGCCTGGGGAAATGAATTTGCAGCTTGCAGTTTCTAATGAAGCTGAGAAAATTAAAAGTAGGTTGTAGCAAACTGGAAACATGACTATAGCAGGCTTGTGAGCTCATCACCACCTTTATGGCCAGGTAAATGGATCTACAACTTACTCTGAAAGACTTCTTTTCTCTGAGAAGACCCTTAGGATGAATTCTCCCTCCTGGTGGGGTTCGTATGTTGATGGGATGACAACGTACTCGCTGGGAGGTAACCGGAAGCGCTCAGAGATTTCTCTCATATTTATATAGGTCTTACTTCTAGCTTTGGAGGCATTGTAGAGGAAAAAATCCTTTTGCAGGTGGTATTTAGTACCATGCATCTGCAGAACAAAGGAGTCAATTGTCTGCAAGAAAGTCTTACCCATTTCCCAGATGGCTTGCATGCGGCAGTACATGGTTGGGACAGAAAACACAAATGAAGCAGCAGATTAGCAAGCAGGGAGCTGAGGAGAGATGCTAGCTGGGAAGAGATATGGAGCCTGTCACCCTTAAGTTACTGCTGTCTGGGTCTAGTTGGCTTCTGAGGGTGCTCCAGGGCCTAACTACAGGCTGACTTCTGCTGTATCCAACTGTTTTGTTGGATGCTAAGTTGTGTGTAACCAAAGTTCAGCTACTTTCCTTGGAGGGTGGAATGGTAAGGAAAGGTATATGCAAACTCCTACATGCAGTGTGGTAACGTGAAGGTGCTTCATGTTGGAAGTGTATGGAAACATAATTTCCCTGACAAAGCATGAATTCTGTGTCTGTTAAAGAAACATGGTAATCAAACCCTGCATTGGTTCCAATATAAAAACTAAGTCAAGAATTGTGGACTAAGAACACTTGTAAGTTGTTTGCTGCAGAAATAACCACCTGTCAAATAGTCAGCAAAGATAACATTCAGACTGTCATATTAATGTTTTCCAGGTAACAACCTACAAGTGAGCTTGTTTGCAAGACTTGTGATGCCAATGGTTCAGCTACTAGCAGGCCCAGAAAAACTTAATGTGTGTACTTTTAAGTAATTTTCTTCAATGGCTGAGAAGGTGCAGGTGAAAAAGCAGTATGGGTGAGAAGGAATGAAAAATTACTCACAAAATGTTACTAACAAACAGTCAAAGCAGAAAGGCTAGCAATTTCACTATTGTTATATTCCTGAAAACAAACTTGACTGGACATTCTCCTGCTGACTTACAGACAGGCACAACAGCAACACTAGCTTCGAGCAAACACCAACATGTCAATCTGCCTCCGTTCTGCTCCTACCTCTTTGGGCACCTTAGGGAGAAACAAAGAGAAGAAACAGTAAGAGGTGCTAGCTGAGTCCACTTGTTCATAGATTACACAGAAGTGTGTTTACACAGATTTCTGAGGAGGCAACCAGTAAATAAAATGCCCCAAGTTAGATAATAATTCTAAGCAATTTCTTTCTTCCTTTTCAGATTTCTTGGGATCTTCAGGAGATACATTACGATCTAAACTAAATACATTTGTGCAAGGGATTAAGTAAATGGACTTCTTCATGAAGCGAATAACAGGGACATTATTCACTATGTATGCATCTTGGATATGTTTCCTTTTTTACAGTGTTCTGTTAATGAAATGTTTAGTTTCAGTAAGGAGGAAAGGAAGATTGAAGAATATATGGGAAAGATGTTATGTTGAAATCTGACATTAAGTCACCATAAAAGTCTAAAAAGTGTGTTACTTATATATGGAGTAAACCCTGACATTACTATTGTTACAAAGCCTTGAATATCCTTCCTCTCTTTCAAGTTTCCCCAGAGCTCCTTACAAAATAAAAATTGCAATTCATGTAGTCGGGCTGAATGACTCAGTGACTCTCTTGGTAAATGCAAACTGTCAGGATTTCTGACCACAGTGCTAAGAACTAGTCTAGAGCTGGTACCTCGTAGATGGCAAAGCCAATGGTGTACAGGTTGGCTCCCAGCTTGCGTTCTTTCCTCCTATTTTTCTGCATCAGTGCAACGAGGAAGCTGCAGATAACCTCTTCATCCTCAGGATCATCATCTTCCTCCAGGAGTTTCAAGCGATACTGGGGATTGGTCCAAAATGTATCTGTGAAATCCCAAAGCAAACGTGTAAAGCTTCAGTTTTCTAATGATAGTAATGATTAAAGAGAGCTTTTAAATTCCCTGCCTATGACTCCTGAAGGAAAGATTGAAATTAGGCTAATCCATTCATATTTTTTAATGTGTTATTTGGCTTATGTAATTCTAAACTGCACAACAAAGGAGTCTACAAAATTAAGAACTGGCATATGACAAACTTCCAAAACACCTAAAGCTATCAGAAAGTGGATTTCCCAAGAGAAACTAACAGTGAAATTGATCTCTCATGTTTACTTGGGGCACTTTGAAGTATTTGAACAATTATTTATCTTTGCCAGGCCTGCCTTTTGGGCTTATGAGGTGCTGTCACAAAACTCGTGGCAGAAGGTCTCCAACTACAAAACCATGTGCCTCATCCCCTGAGGAAGCAAGACTTTCTCTACAGCAAAGCACTGATCAGGCTATGGTCCAACTTAGCCTGTGGGATCTAACACAGTTCCCATCAAAGGGGCCTTCTCTCTCTCAAGACCCATCGCTCACCTGGATAATTGCGGCAACCTCCAGCTGAGCAGCCTCTCACCCAGCGCCCTTCGTTGACTGACACTGTCCAGGTCTGGAGTTTACTGGCTTCCAGAGTATCAGGTGTGAGGTTACAGATCTCAAGTTTTGTGAAGTGCCTCATGAAATCTTCAAATGATATCCTGGAAGAATCGAGGGGAAATGCAACCCAAATGGATTGACATGGTGGGCGGTTGTCTGAAATATCCTGGTGAGGTGGAGGAGGGTGACCCATGCTACTGCCTCTGTTAGGGCAAATTGGCAATGGGAAGGCCATGATTTCCTAATGTATCTAGCCTGCTGGTCGGTCAATTAACACAGCCACAGTTCCAAACTGGATGATGCTGGGCTGAGGGTATGGTACACAGGAAGGGTGATGGGGAGCTTGTGGAAATTATGACTGTTATGTTTGCACTCAATAAAACCTGGTGGGAGAATGAGGGGATCACAGAGCAGGGCTTCTTAGGAATATGAAGGGGAACATGGATTACTTTAATGGTTTTAGCAGATTTAAGTAGTGCAGTGTGATTAATTTTTGCTATTGTTGCGTATCTCCTAGAGAAATACAGGGGTTTTGACTGATATTCTCACCAGAACTCCCCATCCTCCACAATCTTATGCTGCAGGCGGATTTTCTCCTCTTCATTCATGAAGTTCCACTCCTCTGACCTTCAAAAGAATACACAAGTTAGAGTACGATCTGCAATAGTTTTCTTTAAAATTTCTACACTTTACTGTGAGCCTCATAGAATAGGAAGTTGAGAGTCATCTTGCTCATCCATGTAAATTTCCCTTTGTGACCCTTGCAAACATTTATTGTCAATGCAACCCTCCTCTCTACATGCTCAAATAAAGAAGGAATTGCCCTACTCCTCTCTGCCTTCCCTTCAGACTTCCTTTTAGCAGCTCTCAAAAATCTGCTGAACTATGTTCACTTTATTTAGCTTGAAGACAAAAATATTTGCAGACTCTCATTGCTGGAGTTGCTATTGAAATTCCTTTTAGTAAAACCTAATAAGAAGCTTTCTCCAAACTCACTCAAGACACCTTCCTTCATCCAGTTTCTTCCATAGCCTAAAAGATTTTTCTGCTGTCACATCTTGTTTTGAAAATAGATATTGCTGAACTTGCAAGGCAGTAAAATCAGTTTGACCGGGCTTTCTCTTAGCTGCAATTGATTAAAGCCTCTCTTAACATCTATATTTTTAGGTACACTTTTTACAGCTTCAGCTAAGCATTCAACTGTGATCCACTTCAAAGTGCATGTGTCAAAACAACAGCAAAGACAATTCAGATATCTCATCATTAAATGTCATGCATAAGCTGCATAAGGGAAAATAAAGTTACACTTTTTTTTCAAATCGCATGAATCTTCATTGTACTCACTTGTCACTCCAAGGTCCATTCCATTCCACCTGCCCCCAGGGGTTTCTCAGCCTTACCAGACGTATTTTTTCCCCTTTAAATGTTGTCTGATTGAGAAAGAATGCAACAAGAATAGCCTGAGAGTGGGTTCAAACAGAAATGTTATGCCTGTCAAATCGCTAATACCAGTTATGGTGCTTTCCTGGTGGCCCAGCCTGACCTGCTTGGGTGACTGCAGGAAGGCTGCAAGACCAGAAGGTGGCTGACTGTGGCCACTTTTGCCCAAGCAGTGGAATACCCATTTCCCCAGAAAGCCAAAACTTGGACGGATTTGGTTCTCCACGAGCTTTCATTTTTTTAAGTACAGATTTTGTTTCCTTAGTTTTTTTTCTCTTTCTCAGCTTTGCTGACATGCATGGTGCTAGGCCAGTGGAGACCACAGCTCCCCAGCGCTGGAGGAAAGGGACAGTACGTACCTCTTCCACGGCTGTGACAGAGTAGGCATGACCTTTAACAAGTCCACAAGACATCCGGGTTTCATACTGCATTGGCACTATGGTCTGTTACACACAAAATAAAAACTTGTAAGAGTCAACTTTTGAGGCTTTTTGCTGAGTGCAAAGCTCAGCCAACTTCCCTAAGGTAGATGTTGGCAACCAGAGCTTTTGGAAGCAGGATAACACTGTTCAGGTGACAGTGTTTTTGTCTTGTTCTCTTCTTTGCATTTGCCAAGATGGCCAAGCTTAGTGCCCACAGAAGTAATTTTGTTCGTTAGGAAGGATTGAAGCATGAACTAAAAATGCAAAACATTAATATAAATTGGAAAGGATATTTTTGTGCTTTACTTTTTCCCTTTGTGTAGGTTACTGCTTTTTGCACTCAGAACATGCTGGTATGTAGCATGCTCAATCAAAATAACCTTGTTTTCTATTAGTAGGACCACTCAGCCCTTTCTGGGATAGGATGTTCTTGTATGGCTCAGTAAGGTCACCACATATTAAATGAAAACATCAGAGCAGATCAACAGTTAAAAGAATAGTTTCATCTTCACACCTGCCTGCTATCTTAGAACAATTATATTAAAATACCCTATTTAATACACTGCTCCTACTAACTTACACTATTTTTAAAAATTTTAGTTTCCTGTGGGATTTTTTTTTTTTTTATTTCCATAACTGTTAAATCCTCATTATTGATTTTTTTTCTAACTGACATTCTTCACCAATGTGTTGCTCAGGTGTAAATACACTTGCTGTCTTGGTAATTAACTGTTTGTTTGTCTGACAGATTTTTATTTGCAAATGTCAGATGCTGTCTATCTGGGAGATAAAGAATTGAAAGGAAGATCTCAGGTGCACACAGTCTCTTGTAGGAAGTGATCACTGAGACCAGTGGGAAGGGAAGGCTCCTCTGTGTGAGCACGGACCATGTATGAAGCTTCCCCTCCTCCATTATGTCTGTCACTGAGAGATGACTGCAAGGTCCTGCCAGGAACTCTGCCACCTCTTGACACATCTGAGGGCATGAGAAAGGCACGGCTGGTAATGGAGAATTAGTAAGGTCACACAGACACATTCTCAGCTTGCAGAGGGAGGATCTCATTCAAATATTTCCTGGCAGTTGCAATTATTTTCCATTATTTACCTTTTGCTCCTGTTTCTTTTCTTTTCTTGCTTCTGTTTCCATAATTTTTATGCCTACATCCTCATATACTTAATTTTTTCTTCATTTCTACTCATGTTGTTACTATAATTATTCATGAGAAGCCCTTTCTTTTTTGTTTAAGAATATATATTAACTTCCCCTAGTGCCCTGGGCCACTTCTCTAAAAGGCTTCTTAAGTCTGCATTATCTGCCTCTTTCCACAGAGGTTTTTTTTTCCTGGTGATGGCTCAGGACTGTGTCATAACCAGCAGCAAAATGTCTGTCAGGCCAGCAACTATAGAGTGTTTTCCAACTTTTTTTGAGTAGAAAGTCACTGGGGAGAAAATCCGCCCCCCCGAAACATGGGTGATTTGGGCAGACATGCTTGCAAAACAAGACAGTCATACTGGGCTTTCCTAAAGAATTACACCATTTCAGTCTTTTAGGAAGACTAAATATGGATGTCAAAAGAGGAAAATGAACTATTTCTGCTGCAAATGCACAAGACAGTTTGTGCAACTGAAAGTTTTAGATTGTGTAATTGGGGATATGTGTGTGTGTTGGGTTTTTTCCTCTCTGTAAAGTGACGAATGTAATTTCTTTGTTATGGAAATGCAGCTCCCTAAAGGGCAAGGTGTGACAACTGCCTGACAGAGAGAAGGAGAAAGCAGTGTGTCCCCCTACAGATTTGGAACCGTTTAAGTTTCCCAGTGTGAGATTTTCCTTTGCCGGTTTTAACACCCCTCGCTGTATTTTGACAGATGCCCAGGTATCCTGGAGGTACTTTGTATTTTATCAGACATGTAAATCTCAGTACGTTTTTCATTTTCCCTGTTACACATTTTAAATGAGGACCTTAAAGGCAGAAATCTAAAAGAAGCACCCCAAAAGCAGACCCTTCACCACTGATGGGCAGAGCTCCATAGCACTCCCTGCCTCAAAATATGTTCACAAAGAGCTTTCGTGCCTGAAGCACGAAAAAGCATGTGCAAAGCTTGCTTTTACTTTCTTTCCCACCCCCTCCACAGTCAAGGATCTTGCTACATTCTAGCATTT